TTTTCTTTTTGCTTATGTGGTGCTGAGGAATGGAACCCAGGGCCTCATGCATGCAAGGCAAGCGCTCTACCACTGAGCCACCTTCCCAGCCCCAATGTATTTATTATTGCTAAAACAAAGAAGGGACTCCTATGTAATGACTGCTTCTCTTATACTAGTGGTCGTGTTTCCCATCAGAAGCTGTGCTAGTGCAGTGCTTAGGACAGGTGAAGAGTGATCACCTGGATGCGCGCCCCACCTGCCAGGCACAGCCCACATGGGTCTCACCTTCGCTACTCCCCTCCTCCCCTCCTTTCAGCCTGACCCCTGCTGCTGCTCTGGATTACAGCCTGACCTCCCGAGAATCTCCATTCTTTTGATGGCATCTGTGGTGCTGTGTGTCCTCTTCTGGCCCGGAGTGGAGTGGAGTGGAGTGGAGTGCTGGAGGACAGACTCCTGGGGCAGCTTCCTGCCCCTCCCCGTGGTCTCTGGGGACACCAGTGACATCGCTCTTGTCTCCAATCACTAACGCTACACAGGGTTTCTCCTTTGTGTTCCTGCTGAGCAGCATAGCGTCTGCGCAGGGCAGATGTTGTGCTTGCAGAACTTACATGAACGTATTCTTGGGGATGTTTTTGGGCCTCTGGGGGAGTGAGTCCGTCAGAACAGTGCCGGGAGCGGGGGTGGGGGGGTGGGGGATGTGGGGGGGGCTCAGCCCTGGCTTCTTTGCCTATCTGAATGAGGCAGGACATGGGAATCCTTCCTTAGATGCTAATTGTGTGAGTGAGAACTGTGGGAGAGCAGAGACGCCGTGAACTGCTCAGTGAGGTTGAAGCGGAACCACAAGTCCAGGCTTACTCAGGATAATCGGGGATTTGATAATCAGGTGAAGCTGTTCCGCACACTTGTGGTCAGTTATTGTTGATTTCCAGAACCCAGGAAGGAAAAAAGATCAGCAGCACACACACACACACACACACACACACACACACACTTTGAATGCTGAATTTTTTTCCTCCTCTAAGTTGCATTTTCCCAACTTTTAAAAGAGTAATGGGCATTGGGCTGGGACTTTCTGTGGTCTTTCTTAAAGTGAACTGAGGCATTCAGACGGGGTTGCTTGAAACTTCTGTTTAGGTGGCATGGTACTTGAGAGCATCTGTTTTGGGAGCTAGAGTTTGAGATCTGACCATGAAGAATGTCTGTAGGTTGGCTGGGTACCTACAATCCTATCTACTCAGGAGGCTGAGATCCTGAAGCTTGTGGTTCAAAGCCATCTTGGACAGAAAAGTCCTGAAGACTCCATCTCCAAAATGTTCAGCAACAAGTGTGATGCATGACTAGATATAGATCAGGTGGCAGAGTGCCCAGCCAAGGAAGCCAGCCAAGCAAGCGTGAGGCCCTGAGCTCAGACCCTGGTACTGGAGAGAGGGGAAGAATATCTATGTGCCACTGCCGGGCTGAGGTGGGTTTGCAGGGACGATGCTGGATCAGAGGCTACAGTCGGTCCGCTCCTCTAAATTACTCGGGCTTTCTCGTGGGATGTTGGTGTCAGATAGGATCCAGGGTAGACCTCTTCCATCCTGCCAGCCCTCTGCCCCCATCATGCTTGCATGCTTTCATGCTTGCATGCTGGCTGTGCATCAGGCATTGTCCCCCCAGGAAGGCAGGGAGAAGCCGCCCTTCTGCAGCTTTCATCTAGAGAAGGTAGGCAGCAGTCACCAGAGACGCAAGCACAAGGTTTAGGCAGGGTGCACGCCACAGAGCGAAGGAAACGCAGCATGGCACGGGGTGCGGCAGAGGTGCCTGCTTCTGACTAGGCGTCTCCAGGAAGGCGACGTCTGTGCCTCTGTGAGTGACACAGCCATGTGACAGTCTCGATGGTTTCCAGAAGGACTGAGGATGAGTGGGGTGAGTTAGGGTAGAAGAAGGCCAGAGTGGGGGTCCCTTGGAGTGCTGGGATTGGCTGTAGGAAATTGGGGTGAAAGGTGGCTGGGGCTTGGAGCCCCTGGTGAGCGCATTGAGGTTTCCTTCTGCCCACATGTGGCCCAGAGCGCGAGATGTTCACGTGGGGGTGTGCGGTGCTTGCTTTACTGTTGTCTGTACAGAGAATCGGAAGTTGGGTAGACCGGGACAGGCCTCTCTCTGGAAAGGCCACGCAGAAGAGCTGTGGGGCGTGGGCTTGGGTGATGGAAGTCACAAAGGAGGGAACGTGGCCGACCCTTTTGGGTGAAGATACTTGCTTTTCACCAGTCAGCACATGGCAGAATCATTTAGTGACCGAGGAAGGGTTGGAAGAGGGAAGGTGGCGGGATGGAGGCCAGCAGGCGCTTGAGTCATGGAGGATTTCAGTGACCTTGAATTTAGGAGAGGGAGGGAGCCTGGGAAGTTCTGAATGGTGCGCCTCGGTGGGCGGGCGCTCAACCCTCCCATCCTCACGGCTTTGTCTTACAGAGGAGGAGCTCAGATACCCAGAATGACCCCCAGGGCCGCACCATTACCGAGTGGCAGCAGCAGGGCTTGGGGTGACGTGGGGTCTGGCTCTAGACCTGGTGCTTCTAGCTATTGTGTCTCACTGTTCAAGGTCAGACAAACGGCCTGCTTACAGCCACCCGTGAGCCAGGAGCTGGCCCTGTTGCGTGCAGGGCGGTGGAGGCGCACACAGCGTGGTTGGTGGTTTCTGCCTCATTCAGGAACCAGTGAGCTGAGCCCATTTCAGAACCAAGTCACCACTGAGCTTAGTCTTTTTTTTTGTTGTTGTTGTTGGCCGTGGGGCTTGAACTCTGGGCCTGGATGCTGACCCTCAGCTCTTCAGCTCAAGGCGAGCGCTCTACCACTTGAGCCACAGCACCATTTCCATTTTTTTTGGTGGTTTATTGGAGATAAAAGTCTCATAGACTTTCCTGCCCAGGCTGGCTTTGAACTGCAATCCTCAGATCTCAGCCTCCTGAGTAGCTAGGATGACAGGTGTGAGCCATCCGTACCTGGCCTGAGCTTAATCTTCAAAGGTGATTACCACCATTTGGTGTTGGATTTCTCACCTTTTCAGGAAGTGACTGGAGGTTGAATCTTCACACTTCAAGTAAAAGCACATCCATCGGGGAATGTGAGCCGAGTCACACACTATAGCGCCCCCAGTGCAGTTGCCAGACCGTTGCAGCTTTGAGCCTTCGTCTCTGTTCTCAAAGTGCCACGTCAAGGAGTTTGTGAAGGAGAAGGATGCAGGTTTTAGTCTTGACCATTAGGGTCAGAATCACGTACTTTCTGGAAGTCTGCATATTTCAACACTAAATGGATGCTAATAAAAATGAATAGGACGCAAGCATTTACTGTAGACTCACCAGTTTAAATGCCTTGATTTTCACAGCTACATTCTAAAATGGCAGGTGAGGGAGTGGGGGGAGCTTTGTGTGCGTGCCTCTGTTTCTGTAACTTGCAGTTCCTGAAATTGCCTGGACAGAGGCAAAGCTAAGCAAACCCCTGCTCTCCACCCCTCTCCCATCCCTCCTTAGGGGTTTGCATTTGAAAAGAAAATCTTGTGTGGAGCAGTTTTATAGCGCCAGTGCAGCAGAAGTGTATCATAGAGTCTTCCAAAATTTAGATATTCCAGCGTTTTGTTTTAATTTGAAGTTAGGTGCAAGAGTAGCACCAAGAACCTTCTGTGAACCACACAGGGTCTGGGTGACAGGATTCTCCCCTGCTCAGGAAGCCCGGGGCTGCTGTCGGCATCCTGTCAGTGGTTTACAGTGCTGGCCACCGGCCCCATTCCGTGCTCCAGGGCAGGTAGGCACGGCCTAGGAAGAAAGGAACAAGAAGGCAGGCAGGAAGGAGGTTGAGAGCGGGCGGGAGGGCGGACTGGCAGACCAGAGCCTGCTTTGCTCTTGCCCACCTGGGAGTGGCAGGTCTCATTGCATCTCATTTAACCCCGTGTCTTTGTTGTTGTCAGTTGTGGGGCTTGATCTCATGGCCTGCGTGCTGTCCCTGAGTTTTTTTTCTTCAAGGCTAGCAGCTCTATCACTTTGGACCTCAGCGCCACTTCCTTAACCCTGTGTCTTCTGCCAACAACATAAGCCACCTGCCCTGGAAACGGTTTTGGAAAGATTGATTTCTGTTGGGAAGTATTCTTAACAAAAACCTAGGCGTGTCTGTGTGGAC